CGTGATGTCGAACGGACGTATTGACTGAAGTAAAGGAGAAGTGCTCATTCTGACGAACGCTTTAGGCCCACTTGCAGAACAGCAGGTTATCTATTTAACTCGAAGTTTACCGGTTAAATTGAAAAATTGGCTGCACAATCAATGGTTAGGAGCAGTGTCCCCTAAAAAACTTAATTTTTCCAAAAAAATTTTCTAAATCAGATTTTAAAGCTAAAAAAAATATTTTCGATCACAAGAAATCTTCATTTAAAAAATACCTCCAAAGAAACACGTACTTCTATATTGGCTTTACGGATGTAAATGGCCTTTATTATATTGACTCAGAAAATAAACAATTTAAAGTTATAAAATCCTTTTTATATCATCTTAAACTAAAAATTAATAATGCCTTCGTGGCATCACAAAATTTTAAGCACAGTTTGTTTTCTAAGCTACACATTAGTTTGCAAATAATATACCCACGCACAAAATACTCGTGTACATTGAAAAAACGCGTGTATACACTCGCGAATATATATAAATAGGAACGTGATATTTCAGCAAGTTTTAGCTATTTTTCTCTTGTTTATTTAATGTTTATTATTTTTTATTAAAGCATGTCTCGTTATCTGTCAAAAACCATATATGTATGACCAAACTTAAATCTTTGCACAAAAGTTAAGAAAATTCAACAAAGTATGTATGATAGCAATTGGAGCTTTTTAATTCGATTTTTTAGAAAGATTTTGATTATGCAGTTTTTTAGACCATGCAATTTTAGTACAATAAAGTGCAAGTTAAAAGAATTAATAAACGCACACTTAACACGAACCGAGACATTTTAGCGTGTCGCTGTAACCCCCATTTGAAAATCGAGTTAAGAGCCTCTGAACCGTGTCAAGTGTCCGTATAAATACGATCTACTTCAAAACGTTTTTAAATCGCTGTTTTTTATATCAATTTTGTCTTTTGCTTCACTTTCTAAAAACCTAAATATGTCAAGTTAACTTAACTTAACGGAACGTAGAGCTTAGAAAATCAAAATGAAACAGATTTCGACGTGGCATTAAGTTACGTTAAGTTTTGGCTGTTCAGTTATAAGCAACATCCATTTAAGAGAATGTTTAAGTGAGAGCCTGTAAGTTACGTTAAGTTGCCATAATCAGACCATAACTCTTCACCAGAGTATAGGTTTTACTGTGCGAGAGAAGAAGGCAGATAATAGTGGAGGGTATTTCATACGCTTAGGGCCGTTTTCTCATCTAACCTTTAGATTACCGGCCATTTTATCGTCTCGATATACGAGTTTTCATTTTCTCATCAGCGCATTAATTTCTCGAAACGATAAATTGTTGCTCACCCGATGCAACCTTTAAAAATTTGTACCCAACTTTAAATTTTGTTTTGGTTTTGGTTCATGAGTCAAATATATTAGATATTTCAACCAAGGTTTTAGTTTTTGCTCACAGTTGCTCTTGCTCTATATTTGCTTATGTTGTATTGCCAACCTTTGAAATTATATGACGAATGTAGTGAAGTTTCACTCTCGGAAATGTAGTGTAGTTTCTCAGTACGGAATAACAAACGGACCTTAATGTATTTATCATAAACAACAATTTTCTTCTTCCTCCATTTGATGGTTGCCATGATGTAACAAAGGTTAACATATAAAAGTTAACAATTTTAGCTTAAACTTTAAAAATCTTGCATCATACACAGAAATCTTCATTTTAAAGATACCATGTAGTCAAATGTACCAGTTGTAAACTAACACACAACTAGTATGAACCGCTGCTCAACTAGTCAGCCAACTTTTTTTTTTCCATGCAATCAACCGGTTTTTTTAACATGGGGATGTCCTACGAGATGGCAACTGTCAGATTTCGGCCAGAAATATACCAGTCTCATACTATTTCAGAATATACAGAAAAATACTAGTCCAATTATGGACCGAAACCACAACTTTGGGAGTAAAAAAATAAAATGAATTCATGAATATACAATAAAAAACTTTTTATTAAATATATTACACATTTTTATTTAGCAGTCTTAGATTTGCCAATAATTTGTATTAAATTGTTTAACTATTAATTAAAAGGAAAAATAAATACATAAATATTTCAAACTTTCGAACATAAATTTAAATGCATTTTTCGTTAAATGTTGTTTAAAGTAAGAGCTTTCAGGTACAATAAATACTATATTTTTCATCTTTTTTAATAATATTGAAAAACCTTTTTTGCTAAAAATAAGATAAATACTTTAGTTCATTTTCATGTGAACTTAAATAAAAATAAAAGTTATCATCCAATAAAATTACATTCATAAATCTGCACATTTTATTTCTATCTTTTAAAAATTATATAAAAGTAATAATTAACGCTTTGAGATTTGCATAATAATTAAAAAAGTCAAAGATAATTGAAAATTATCAAAAATAACAAAATAATTATGTAATTAAAATTAATGGAATAATTAACAATTTTAAATTAATTATTAATATTGGTATTAAATCATTATGCTTTAATTATTAATCATTATTTAACAGGTCTGGTGTAATTGAATATGTAGGGTAGAGCGAGGAGGATTTGACAAAAGGAGGATTTGTCATTTTC